AAAAATATAAATCAACAGACAGACCAAACTTCTGTTATACACATGCAGGGAGATTGACTTACTTCTACTAAGTACTTGTTTAATAATTAACCTTGTCTCTTAATTGGTTCCATTAGGAAGTAAACTAATAAGGGGGTCAAGGTGATTGGTTGTTTGAGAAACAATATGATTAATGAATGTAATAAAACAAGACATGATTTTCATTGTAAACATGGTTGCCAATATTTCTATATTTGTTTACTTTTTATAATGTTTCTCTTCGATGATGAAAAAAAAATCTTCATCTAATGAAATAGAGTTTTACATCTTAAGTTCCTTCAACATTCAACTGATAATACAATGTACAATTATGTGCTTCATGTATACATTTTTCACAAAAATTCCTTTTCAAATTAAGTAAAGTTTTACATTCTAAGTTTCTGCAACATACTTGTCTAATTGCTACTATGTTTTGTGTATTAATGAAAGATGAATCAAGATAACTACCAGTCTGTGAAATTAGCCAGATGTCTGATGCCTGGGACAAGCTGCAACTGCTTTGCTTTGAGCTACTTGTCCACTGGTACACAGTATATTTTTATTGAATGTTATGATGAATTTCGTGAAGTGGGCCTTTATTGACTGTTAGTCCATACAAAATGTGCAGACTGACAAATTAAGGCTAATAAAATGCCCCAAACTACTAATAGTGCAGACTGAACTACTAGTAATCACATAAAAATTATTTTCTTAGACTGATATAGGTACAGAATAACCATGTAAAACTTCCATTCGTTAGCCGAATATAGTACATAACAGTAGGATGTATAACTCTGTTTCATTAAACTAACCAAATTAGGCTCTAAAAATCTACCTAGAACCACCAGTGAATGATATTTACTATGCAGGACTAAGAGATATTAAATGTTATTTCATTACCCTCATAATAAGGTGCAGAAATCTCTGACGTAAACCTCTAGTAAGAATGTTTTGTCAAAATGTGTATTCTGCCTATATTTTTTTGGCATGAAAATGAAATGGTGGGCGGGAAGGCTGTAGGTTATTATTTGATTATTGAGCTGATTTAAACCATATTGTATCAAGGTGAAAGTAAATAACTTATACTTACCTGTAATTAGCACCTGATACAAATACTATAGGTAATGTCTAATATGAATTCAGGTTGGTAGATAATACCTGAATCTCTAGACCATCACTATAGGTTGAGTTATAAATAGAATTTGGCAGGAAGATGTTATAGACTTCCTATAGATATGAGAAAGGTGTAGGTAGACTGACAGACTCACTGCATTCCTGATATGCCTCTCTCCATCCTTATTTTCACCTCTGCTGATTGATCTAGTTGGAATCTAGGTGTTAAGGAGTATATGTGGATTATTAAAGATAAATTCAGTGTATATTTCGATGTGTAAAAGGATTATTTCTATGTAAGATGTGGTATATGATTTGAAATTCGGGAAAGAGTTTTGAAGATCAACATGGTGAAGAAACAGAGGTCAAAATTGCGGTTAGTGGACCAGGCTTCATTGGTGGGTATCATGATATTTTGATTGGTTTATTGTGGGCCTTATTAAGATATATTTAACCTACTTAGTTCTGATTCTTTGTATTTATAAACAATTTTAGGCAATCATAATCAATCTTTGTTTCAATCTAAAGGGCAGCCATTTTGTGAGATCTAGAGTATACTGCAAGTCTGTTTTCAAGCTAAATATATGTTTATCAGCTTGATTTAATTTTCAGTTAGATATTTATGTAAGTGTTACTTAAGGCATCTAACATTTTTCGCTAAAATTTTGTAAAGCCTAATTTTGGCTATTAAGATTCAGAGCTTCTGAAAAGAAAGTAAATTTTCTATAATTTGAGAAGTTAAAGAGAAGATACTATGATTAGAAACAGGATGATTATAATTGTTATTGTTGTTAGTTAGAAGTAAGAATAGAAATGATCTGTGTTTCTCATTATTATATACCATCTTCACTTAAATATAAATATTGTTAGTAAACCAAAAGATCTGACTGATAATTACAGCTAATCATAGTTATATCTATAACTAGTTCATCCATTAATTCATTTATTCAATCTCTTTTAGTTCATCCATTAATCCATTCATTCATTCAATTACTTCATTTATTCAATCTCTTTTAGTTCATCCATTAATCCATTCATTCATTCAATTACTTCATTTATTCAATCTCTTTTAGTTCATCCATTAATCCATTCATTCATTCAATTACTTCATTTATTCAATCTCTTTTAGTTCATTCATTTATTTATTCATTCTGTTTGTTCATCCATTCATTCAATTAGTTTATTCATGTAGTTCATTTATTCATTCATTCTATTATTTCATTCATGTAGTTCATTTATTCATTCATTCTATTAGTTCATTTATTCTAGTAATTCAGTTATTTGTTCATTCTTTCTATTAGTTCATTTTGGTGGTTCATTCATTCATTCATTCATTCATTCATTCATTCATTCATTCATTCATTCAATAGTCTGGTTCAAATTAATGACTAGTACTCAGTTCTAGTAATATGATACAAAACATCTGTTCTTTGCTTCATACCTATTGCTCATTTACTGATTACAATCTGAGAGCTAGGTGATGTTTAGTTGTTATGAACTAGGTGATGTCAGACATTCAGAGCTGGGTGAACAGAAACCCAGAGCTAGATGAAGTCAAGCATTCAGAGCTAGGTGAACAGAAACCCAAGGCTAGGTGATATCAGACATTCAGAGATAGTTGTACAAAAACCCAAAGCTAGGTGATGTCAGATATTCAGAGCTAGGTGCTGTCAGACATTCAGAGCTAGGTGAACCCAGAGCTAGGTGCTGTCAGACATTCAGAGCTGGGTGAACAGAAACCCAAGGCTAGGTGATGTCAGACATTCAGAGCTAGATGTACAAAAACCCAGAGCTAGGTGATGTCAGATATTCAGAGCTAGGTGAACCCAGAGCTAGGTGCTGTCAGACATTCAGAGCTGGGTGAACAGAAACCCAAAGCTAGATGATGTCAGACATTCAGAGCTAGGTGAACGGAAACCCAGAGCTAGGTGATGTCAGATATTCAGAGCTAGGTGCTGTCAGACATTCAGAGCTAGGTGAACCCAGAGCTAGGTGCTGTCAGACATTCAGAGATAGGTGTACAAAAACCCAAAGCTTTATTATGTAAGCTATATTATATACTAGTGTATACAGTCTGAATGGAATCTCTGGGGTATACCAACATCTTCTATACATATTACTTGGCTTGGCATTCTACCAAATAATTGTCTACTCCGTTCTAGTGTACCTGCCAATTTCTTACTGTGTACAATGTACATCCATTTTATCTTTTATCCTGCCAGCCTGTCAATCTGTAGGGAGAGTTACACATACTTTCTTTTTACATTTGCATGAAGTACATTTTACGTCTGAAAAAATTTCATGATAAATACATTTTCCATTTTATGTTGCTATAGTAAAAATTCACGACATTAAAGTCTTAGTGTGCTCTTCAAGTACCTGAAAAAAGAGAATTTAGGGCAATATGTGATGATGTGTAAGCTTACACGATCCACATTCTTACATAGATTAAACTCACTAAAAAGTGACTAAGTCTACCCCTTGACTGTTGTCATACCTGGTGGGACACAGAAACATCAGTGAATATCTGGTAATGTTTTAACGAACACATTTATGCTTCAGCTTTTTTCCTGGTGAAAACTCTCAAAACTAGCCAAATAGAAGTGGTTTGGATGAACCACCATATAAATCAACAACAATTACCAGGTTTGTCACTGGCGTGGTTGTCAGTTGAATTCATCCTCTATATAATTCATATGTTTTAATAAATTGTTAATTTATCAACCACTTTTCAAAATAGTCCTGGATGTTTTTTGCCACTTAAAAAAAGGCCCTAATTACTCCCAGACTGTCTGTTTTATAAGTGATATTGGGTATATTTTTATTGATCCTGTAATTAAGAATGGTGCCAATCTCATCCTGTTCTAGAATCATTTGATTAAATAGACATCATAATAGACATCAATATCCTGGTTTCTTGTATAAAATACTTTCAAAACATCAATGATAACTCGGTTGTTGTTTATACCTTATCAACTCAAGGTTTTTCAACACCTTTTCATCCTTGAAAATTTATATTGCTATACAGCGAAAGATTCTGTTAAAGGAATACACTTGTCAAATCAGTAAGGACACAAATTGAAATAGTACAGTTCTCTACTTGTCAAACTTGAGTAGGGGCACAAACTGAAATAGATACGTTGTCTGAAGATCACTACTTGTCAAACTTCAGTAAGGACACAAGCTGAAATAGTCCAGTTCTCTGAAGATCACTACTTATCAAACTTCAGTAAGGACACAAGCTGAAATAGATCAGTTGTCTGAAGTTCTCTACTTGTCAAACTTCAGTAGTGACACAAGTTGAAATAGATCAGTTGTCTGAAGATCTCTACTTGTCAAACTTCAGTAAGGACACAAGCTGAAATAGATCAGTTGTCTGAAGATCTCTACTTGTCAAACTTCAGTAAGGACACAAGTTGAAATAGATCAGTTGTCTGAAGATCTCTACTTGTCAAACTTCAGTAAGGACACAAGCTGAAATAGATCAGTTGTCTGAAGATATCTTCTTGTCAAACTTCAGTAAGGACACAAGTTGAAATAGATCAGTTGTCTGAAGATCTCTACTTGTCAAACTTCAGTAAGGACACAAGTTGAAATAGATCAGTTGTCTGAAGATCTCTTCTTGTCAAACTTCAGTAAGGACACAAGTTGAAATAGATCAGTTGTCTGGAGATCTCTACTTGTCAAACTTCAGTAAGGACACAAGTTGAAATAGATCAGTTGTCTGAAGATCTCTACTTGTCAAACTTCAGTAGTGACACAAGTTGAAATAGATCAGTTGTCTGAAGATCTCTTCTTGTCGAACTTCAGTAGTGACACTGGCTGAAATATTTTTATTCTATTTTATTATTTATTTATCTATATCATAATTTCAGGGGTCGGCAGATTCAAATTATAGTCAGCCGTCGTCAGAGTTTTCTTTGGACGAAGAACGCGATGCTTTAAGAATAGAAACAGAGCGCCAAGCTGTGGCACAACTCGAAAAGGCCAAAGTGAGTTTATTTTGAATAATTGTTGAAATATAATACAAACCATCTTCACAATGTCAATGTATTACGAACTGTATCTTATACCTTGATTGTAATAGCCACTTTTCTTGCATCACAGAAGTTTGTAAATGCAGCGATCTTCCGAGATAGAAGAATAGTGGCTATTGTAGTCAAGGTGTAAGATGAAGTTCGAAAAAGCTTGACATTGTGAAGATGAATACTAGCTGATTCTTACAATATTTTTTGGTCTTGGCATGTGTATGAATAACAATGACAGATTCTAGTAGATTGCACTGTTTAGAAATCCCATTTGATATATGTGATTTCTATAATTCTGGTAGCTCCATCAGTGCCTTGTCAACTTATACAGATATTTTGATACCTACTCAGGTAACTAAAGCTGATCAGGCTCATATTTTGAGATCTATATCCCTAGTATGTTTAATATTATATTTACAGAGTAAACCAGTAGCGTTTGCTGTACGTACTAATGTACCATACGATGGTAGTTTGGATGATGACTCTCCAGTACATGGTCATGCCATTACCTTTGGTATTAAAGATTATTTACATATAAAAGAAGTGAGTATTTATGAATAGTGTACCTGCCATAATGTTATTTTGGATTTCGTTTTGCTATTAAGATCGCTAGTTAATTTATTGATATATTGGAATAATCTCTAGAATATATATCTTATCCCCAGGGCTGTTTATTTTAGAAATTCCCAACCAGATATTTGAGCACTTAATTTAGGATCCTGTACCAATTAACAGAAAATATAGCAGATGTCCTTGAAGTTCAAAATTGCGGTCAGCCATTTTGGAGCTTCAATCAGACAAAACAGGCAAATGCAGAGAAATCAAAAGCCCTTCTTGTCATTGATTTGTAGTTCAGGACCATGGACTGTAAAAACGCTGGCTTGTGTTTTGACATTTTGAAATAAATTCTCTGTTTGCATTATCCTTGGCTACCATATGAAGCTTAGACGATGTTTTACATTGGGATATAAAACTGCATTTCTTAATATTATCTGGTCTTCTATTACAGAAATTTAACAATGATTGGTGGATAGGTCGACTCGTTAAAGAAGGTAGTGACTTCGGCTTCATCCCAAGTCCTGCCAAGTTAGAGGCCCAAAAATTACAAAGTACAGGTGGCGGACGAACAGGAAAATTATATACAAGGTATGTAACTGTATTCTATTACTCTTACTAACATTAGGTGGATCTCAATGATTTACTTAAGAACACTTAGGACTCGACTCTAGATTAGCAGTTAATAGTGTATACCAGCCCTAGCTAGTCCACTGCCAAGCTCACACAGCACAGCTCATCATTCAGTTGAACCATTTCTCGTGGAACCATTTATCCTGGAAGTGAATGGCAACCAGTCATTTGTGCTATGGCTCTTAAGATTTAGATTGCATTAGTTAGTATCTTGCTGAAAATAGGAATTTTGTGTATCTTGTATTCACCATTCTTTTATTTTTCAGCAAAACCAACTCTTCCACGAATATTGATAACCTACTAGCTAATTCCAAGTCTTCGAATTCTCGGGGTTCGACGCCACCCACCCCTGGTCTAGAAGGGGATCAAAATGGAATGGACAGTAATGTCGGAGATGATTCAGATAGTCTGGGCAACAAGGCCAGTATTACAGCACCTACTAAAGAAAAACGAAAACCCTTCTTTAAAAAGGTTAGTTTATATAATTTCCTTCATTGTACAATTCAATGCTGTTGTACATCTTCCGCCAAGAAAGTGAAAGTAGCCCTCTATGTGCAATGAATTTTGCCACAATTCTTACTCGTAGCACACAGCAGAGCATTTTTATGAAAAAATCTAGAAACCAAACTAATGCCATTAGTAATGGTTAAGTTTTCATTTGTAAGATTTGACATTGACTGAATTATTGTTGTATTATCATTTTGTATTATTGTTATATTATCATTTTGTGAAGTGGGGTAATTAGGCACAGTCAGCTCAAATCCTCCTAAAAAAATAACTGCCAGTGCTGTCAAGATATAACTGCCAGAGCTGTCAAGATATAACTGCCAGTGCTGTCAAGATATAACCGCCAGTGCTGTCAAGATATAACTGCCAGTGCTGTCAATATATAACTGCCAGTGCTGTCAAGATATAACTGCCAGTGCTGTCAAGATATAACTGCCAGTGCTGTCAAGATATAACCGCCAGTGCTGTCAAGATATAACTGCCAGTGCTGTCAAGATATAACTGCCAGTGCTGTCAAGATATAACTGCCAGTGCTGTCAAGATTAGGCGTAGTGTGAACTTTCAACCCTTTCATAAACCCATGTTGATTTATTCCAGTCGGAGAGTGTAGCACCATATGAAGTCGTGCCTTCTATGCGACCAGTTGTTTTGATTGGACCATCGTTGAAAGGTTATGAAGTCACAGATATGATGCAGAAGGCTTTATTTGATTATATTAAACATCGGTTCGAAGGAAGGTTTGTACTTTTATTTTGATTTATTATATTTTGTTGGTGAAATTATTTTGAAATGTTCTCTTCATCACATAAGGATTTTTTTGGGTCGGTTTTTTAAAAAGATGAAGACTTATGTTTTGATAAATGATTTTAATGAATACTATTGTATTGTACTATCAATATTGAATGAAGATAATTTTATAGATTTGAGTTGTTCATCATAATCTCTCTGATATTTCATGTATTCATTTGATTGTAAAACCCATAGGGCTGCAACGATTCATCGATGAACCGCTGTTCCTTCTTATCGATGCATCGCATTGGATAAAAATAATCATGATGTATCGGCACAATTAATTCCTAGCCCCCGTTAATAACTAATGACACAGAATCCTTGTGTGTATACATAAAAAATAGTGTCATGTTTTCATTTTCACATCAAAATTTACAAAAATTTATTTCTGACTTTAAAAATCGAGATTTTTTCACAATTCCTTACTTCTACATGTTCTCAAGTGCTTAATAGTGACAAAATTGTTACAAATTTACACACTTTTTTTTTCTCTTTCCTTCACTAATAAATGAATCGAGATAGTTATGGCAATAAATTGTATCGTTGGATGAGTATTGTATAGTGTATCAAATCGCAACTTAAGAATCGTTGCAGCCCTAATAACCCATCATCACCTAAGTGTGAATCATTATGTGTATGTGCCATTATTTAACAGTGTGTTTTTATAAGTGTGTATTATTGTGCAATATAAATAATAGTGTTTGTTTATTTTTTCCAGGATTATAATAACGCGTGTGACTGCTGATATATCATTAGCCAAACGCTCTGTGTTAAATAACCCCAGTAAAAGAGCCATATTAGAAAGACCAAATAGCAGATCTTCTGGTTTAGGTATGTTTTATTTTTTATTTTTTTTGTAAAATTCTTGGACTAGTATGTCATGTAATGAAGATCCGTTCAAGCAAGACAAATCTGTCAATCAAAAAATAGTATTATTTCTTATTTATTTGATACCGTTATATAAAATTCTAGTGATGACAATGTAAATTGTTGAAACATTGTGAACAATAAAACTCAACAGTAGTAAATCATATAAACTGATGATGACAGTGTAAATTGTTGAAACGTTGTGTATAATAAAAACCATGGAGTAGTATATCATTAAAACTGATGATAACAATTCAAATTATTGAAACGTTGCATTCAATAAAACACATGTCTAGTATATAATAAACTTGTATTCCGTTATTTAAGAAAATTCTAAGACTTATACATTATTCCTCACAGATGATATATTTTCAATATTAAATATCACTGGCATAATATACATTATAAGGGAGATAACTGTGTTTTTAAATCATACAGTATTGCCCTTGCAAAAATAAAGTTGTATGAATAAGTCTTCACATTTAATTTGCAAATTGTGATAAGGGACTGCTCAACTTCAGTTGATTTCATTCCAACTATTTCTTATTCTTAATACCTGATTTCTTATTCCTTATCAAAACATGATGTATTTTGTCCTCAATAGGCATAGTATTTTTGTGTTCGGTCCATCAAATATGGAGAATACTAAGTCATTTTTAAATAGAGGTCAAGATTTCACTCTTGCTTAGTTACTCCTTGAAAAGTTATACTAGAAAGAAACATGTTTCCTTAAAGGGATGCAATTCCACCAAAGCTAATGCGTTTTATGACGTTACTAGAGGGGGACTGCATAGAAGTCATAAAACGCATTAGTTTTAGTGGAATTGCAAGAACCACAGACGTCAGAATAAAAATTGGAATAGTACAAATCAAAGCTATCAGTGTCCCTGATACACATAAAAAATTTAGAAAACCTCTTTACTATCTTTTAAAGCTACGATTTTCTTCCTTTGTTGTTTGAATCATTTAAAATTTTCTGGAAAGGGTTCTATGATGTAAAATGGCCAGTACAGTTTCTTAAAACTATATATAGTGAAATTATTATTATTTTAACCTTTTCCTTTTAGTTGAAGTACAAGCTGAAATTGAGAGGATATTTGAACTAGCTCGAACATTACAACTGGTTGTTTTAGATTGTGACACTATTAATCACCCTTCCCAACTGGCCAAGACTTCCTTGGCTCCTATTGTAGTTTATGTCAAAATAGCCTCACCCAAGGTACGTAACTCTATTTTCAAAATTCTTTCAACAAAGATAATCAATTTCCTCATTACACTCTGCCTGGTTTTACCTGTGTTTATAAGCCCAGTCAAATGTAAAATTATAGGATAAAAACTATTACTGCAAAGGCAATAATTTCTAAAGCAAACATTCATTCATTGAAAACTGCCTTCTTAAAGCTATGTTTATTGTGAAAAGTTCATTAACTGCAACCTATGTATCGCCAATATGTTGTATTGGATATCTTGTTCAAAATGATGAAGGTAAAACTGTCCAATATTTAAGCTTTCATATTGTTAACTAATTGTGAATTGATTTTAATTTTCTAGGTGTTACAGAGGTTGATTAAATCAAGGGGCAAGTCACAGAGTCGTAATATGAATGTTCAACTGGTAGCTGCAGATAAGCTAGCACAATGTAGTCCTGTAAGTAGAGCTCTGTTATTCTGTTCTCTTTTCTCAATGATTGCTAGTCCATAATACTCAAAATCTTATCATTCTATCATTTTTAAAATGAAACTCATCCATTTTGTCTTTTTGCAAAAAAAAAACATACTGGGGCCTTATTCTTGAAAACTAAACTTGTAATGATTTTAGTGTTCCAGTCATCTGATTGGTCAATCACTAAAATTGATTTCAAATTTAGTTTTATTATCAGATTACTGTATTTCTTAAAATCTGGAGTTCAGTTTTGAAGAATAAGGCTTTTTGGTGTGACAGACTCCAATGCATATATTGCAGAATGTCATCTAGAACAGACCTACAGGTCTCTTAAAGTGATGTGGTCCTCGAAATACTTTTGGTAACTGAGAATGCTCAATGAAAATTATCTAGTTTATTTACAAACAATACACAGCATTGCATGAATAATGATGTAAATATTTTCTCATCCACAGGAAATGTTTGATGTGATTTTAGACGAGAACCAATTAGAGGATGCTTGTGAACATTTAGCCGAATTTCTCGAGGCGTATTGGAGGGCTGCACACCCCCCAAGTAATAACCCCCAATCCCCATCGCGACCTCACGCCCGCTCGATGCCTTCTCCTACCACTCCTCTTACACGCCACAATACAGTCCCAGCACACCATTCACATTCTCATCACGTAGATAGGGGCAATCCTGGCAGCCCTGAAAACCGTCACGACACCTACGATCATGTGACAGACAGGGGACATAACCGCGATATACATTTACACGAGTATGATAAAGACAATTACCGATCCCGTGATTATGATCAATCGCGGGAATATAATTCACAGGACTATAGCGATAGCAGGAGACGAGTTCACGACCATGAGAAGCATCACATGTCTCCACGTAGTAACAATTACCCACCTGTACGCCAGGGAAGTATAGATATTTAGCACCGTCAACTTGTTTGTAGTGTTTTCCTCTTATTCTGTTACTTTAAAACTTCCGGCTTGTGAATCATTATTCCTCAGAATTATTTACCACTGGTGGAAGTTATTTTACCACGGCTATCGTTATGGTGTTACCATGGATACTGGTACCACTTCTTGTCACCATGGTAATGGCCGTTTGACTCTTTCACCACTGTGGAGTTACAATGGTTTGACACACTTGTGCCAGGTTACATTTTGACAGAGACAGTTGCTGGTGATCTGCCTGATTGTCAATGGATTGCCACTGTGGTGGTAATTGGTTGCCACTTTGTTCATGAGTTGCCATTATGGATTGTTTTCCATTGTGGTCTTTGGTTGCCATTGTGGTCTTTGACTGCCATTGTGGTCTTTGGCTGCCATTGTGGTAACTGTGTACCTCCCTGGTCATGTTTGTCACGTTGTTTTGAGACTAGTTTATGTGTTTGCCACTGTGTGTAGTAGTGGCCACTTTGGTGAAAGTGGTGTGCCACTGGCAAAAGTATTTGCAACTGGTGAAAGTGTCTTACCACTGTATTGTGTTTGCTACAATGGTGGCTGTGGTTTGCCACTGTGTGTGAAGTGGTTTTCCCACTCTGTGTAAAGTGGTTTGCCACGCTGGTGAGAGTGGTTTGCCACGCTGGTGAGAGTGGTTTGCCACTGTGGTAAGATAGCTATTGGTTGTGAGTCACTCCACAGTTCTAAACCTCAGACAAGTACCATTATTTAGACAGTGTTATTGTTTTTTACGGCTTGTGCAATTTAAAATCAATATTTCTGTGATAGACACAGTGTTGAATTATCTCCCCTTGATAAGGATTGTGTTGGAGTTATCTTCCTTGACTGTTGAAATAGGTATTGGAAAGGTTGAATAAATGGTTTGAATTCAAAGTGATATTGTGTAAAAGGATTAGGCACAGATCTTATAGAATGTAGCAACCTTCTTAAGATACAAGCAGAAACAGCACTGGATAAACATGATCTGACTGGATTATCAAGGAATAATTTTGTGAAACCCAAAGGAATCTAACTTGTGATTAAGTATGTTCTTTCTACGCTTTTTTGTGTGTGAACGCGCAATATGGATTCGGGCACATCAACACCTCGCAGAACCTACAGCATGAGTTTTGAGCTATTTAAAAACAAAATGGAACCTTCATTTCTAATATAGCTCAAAAGATTTCAAAAACAATTTGCTCAAAATGATTTTTCTTGGGCTTCATTTTTGCATCTCATTTTCTTTTACTTTTTTTCAATAATCGATAAAATTCTTGAATCCATGTACACTAATAGACTTTTTATACATTTTTCACTTTTTTTCTCAGAAATTCAAAGATAAAGCACAATTTAATCACAATTTAATTAATATCTATATCCCCTATTTTACTTCTATTGTTTATGACAAACTTTCAGGCATTTTGATTAAAATTACTATAGTGCAGAATTCATTGACAATATCCTGACTTTCAGAGGTAATAAAACTTGAAAAACGTCCTTTGGCTTTCAACATTAAGAAAAGACTTCTACACAACTGTCAGCTCAAAAGTTTGAGAAATGAAAAATTGTGTTGATCTTTGAATTTCTGTTCACTGTGTAGACCCACTCTCATTTATCTCGAGCACAAAACAGCAACATGATATTGACCAGCTTTTGTTGTTTCTTTCCATTCGTCTGTAGCATCTTCAAACAGCTTTTTCTCAATTTGCAAGTAATGGTTTTATTTTAGATAACACTGTACAATAAATTAATTTTTGAATTTTTCACACGTCAGACCATTGATTTATTCCATGCCCTATATCACATTAATATGACAAAGATGACATTTAAGGAAATACAATCTTCTGATTGGTCAATAATGCTAATTTTAAATTCAAGTTTATTATTTGACCAATCAAATAAAATGAAAACTGAAATCATCTCATGTAAAGTGTGAAATATGAGCAAGAGCTACATTGATAAAACCATAATTTAGATATTTAAAAAAGAACTGAACAAGAAAACTGATTGGTTGCTTAATTCTTGGTTGTCCAATCAGATTTCAGTAATATCTCAAATTAGGATAGTTGGCAACAAGCTGCAGTATCTAAACAAGGCTCGAGGAAATGATAGTCAGATAAATCATGTCCTAAGTGTTAACAAGATTTTACATGTTGATGAAATTGCATATTTTATTTGCTATCATTGCGATCAGCCTAATTAAGAAAAATATTTCCCATCGTTAATAAATTCTAGGAATGTCTTTAAGTTATTTAATTTATTTATTTATCTTACCCTTGTATACCAGACTGACTTTTATACTTTAAATATTCCTCACTATAACTCCTCAAGACTCTAGACAAATCTTACCTGAATTGAAAAGCTGATCTGATCTGGTTATCGGTCAGTACAATTGACCAAGCAGGTACTTGTCCAATTCCTTTTGTAGCTTACCATAACCGTAACTGTGCAGTTATTATGTTGCGTTCGATACATGGTACGGTAATCACAAAGAATCAAATTTAGTAAGGTACTAGGATATCTCTGATTGGTTAATGTTATTAGAGTATACAAATTAACCAATCAGAATCCAAGAAGTTAAGATTCAAGAATCTGGAATTTCAACGACAAAATTAAATTATTGAATTTATTTCACCGAAGACTTTTCTCCTATAACGATCCAGATCTCATAAATCCTGAAATAAATAAATTTAACGATAAAAGTCAGTCTTGTTTTAAAAACCATTCCATTTGATTGGACAGAGGCTTTGTTATTTATAATTAATTTTCCTTTTGTCTTTAATTTCAATTTAATTGTCATTTTGTTTATTTTCTAGGGTTTTTGTGCATGTTAATGATCAATTTTATATATATAAAGAAAAAATCAAAACTTTTTTTAATTCTTGAAAACATACATTAATTGTTTGTCACGATATGGTCGCCATATTTGATCATGTGACCTCATTTGTCCATATTTGGATTGCTGATTTCAGCAAGAAAGTGCATTATGTTGATTTGCTTTTTGCATGGAAATTTCTATTGAAACTTGTGTGATATTTATTTATAGAAATTTGTGGTCAGATTTGAAGGGTTAAGTTTAAATCTCTATCAGATCAGCTGCAGTCTTTGTGAAAAAATTTTGAAATGGATGCCAATGAATCTTGTGGTAATTTAATTGCGCTGTATTGAGTGACTCTTGTACAATCGATGTTAATCAGAACATTGGCTTTAGTTGTCTTCTCAACACGTCTGTTACTTTTTTCACTGAAGGGAAACAATCTCATCTTTCATGTCGTGGATTGTTAAAAAATGTCAGTAATTTGCCCAATATTTTTCCGGCAGCTGCCTGAAACCATCCCCCTCTAGCTCAAAGCTGCCATATCCCTGTCTAAATTTTACAATCACAAGATTTATCAGACACGTAGCTTTCTTTTACCTGAAATGATAGCCATTTTGAAAACCAAAAGTGTTACATCCTGGTGCATTGATATCTGTTGAGATTAAACTAAACTCTTAAATCTGTTAAAACAAGAACTGATATTTGTGCAATTATTTCTCCAAAGAACCAACTTCTTGATGTGCAATATTTTTATGTTTTACAACCTATAACAATCAGTATTTATTATTTATATAGAGTCTAGATCTGATTCATAATCTACTACTATTTCACAATATCTTGAGTTCAAATTACAATCTTCTGATTGGTCAATCACGGAAATTAAATATATTTTCAAATGTATTAGCCAATGGGATTGAATTATTCTTACTCTACAAAGATTGGTTTATCAAGTGATATTTAAAAATATACCCATAAAATTGGTGCACACTGCCATTTTAACTCATCAGATTCTGTAATCTGAGCAAAACAGTAGTTGGCTTAATTCTTAATAATGGATGATTACTGTTTATGAACCAATCAAATAGTTGAGATTTTGTGAAATAGTGTGGTATTTTTGTGTTGGTGAACTCATTTGGGTAATTTTGACACATAAGGCTGCTTCTTATATACTCTGCCATTATTGATGGGTTTGTATTCAACGATTAAATTGGGTCAAATTTGTCAGCCATTTTCAATTGAAAATATGACATAAAATGGGATTGGCAAATCTAAAGCTGGATGGTTAAATTTTACAAATCGTTCCTCATATTCTCTGTAGAATCTATAGGTCTAAACAAGCCCCATAAATAATGGAACACAATTTTGTGGTATACAATATTCTCTTGAGTTTTATTGTAAACAACGTTTCAACAATTTACATTGTAATTAATAGTTGAAATAAGGAAATGTTATTTATTAATCTGATGGTGAGAAAAGCAATGTGTATTTGTGCTGGTTGACAATATCACAGGTTTTTCAATTTTCATACATAATTACTTTAACTACAAAATACTGATATAGCAAGAATAAAAATTGGTACAAGCAAGACAATTCCACTGATCAATAAAATACTTGTATAGGAAGAAAGTCACTCAATGATAACAAATTATTGGCATAAATAAGCAGTTTGTAGTTATTAATGAAACTTGAAATACATGTGACAAAGCACATGATCTTTGAATGTGAGATCGTTGTTCCAATCAACACTAACAATGAGTGGAACTCTGTCTCATCAATGTTAGATGAAAGAAAGGAGAGACTACATCATACAAATACCAGTGACAATATAAAATATTTAGATGTATTACTCTAGTTTAATCGTTGAATACAACCCACTGTGTAATTGATCTGTATATTTTGTTATATTTAACCTCAACAGGGTTAATTTTATTTATTTATTTATTTATTTATTTTGATATTTAGTTCATTATTTTTGAACTGGCCTGGTGCTGGTTGGGGTCATCTGAAACTTGTATCGACAGACAAACAACTGGAGCAATGCCCTGATACAGTTCCTTATAGAGGTTACCTTGCTTGACTATCTAGCCGTCTTCATTAGCCCACAAGGTGCAGAAGAGTAGGATGTAAAACTCCATTCATTTCATTTCATTTGACTGTCTAAGTCAACATATCTGGCCTAACACATTCCTTGGATGTAACATATGGATGGGATATTGGCATCTTATGGACCATAGATAAAATGTCATCTTTTATGAGAGTTGCTCTGATCCATTTTTGGATTACTAGTTTTTGACATTTTTCATCAGGAACAATATAACTTGACTACAATAGCCACCTTTCTTGTATCATACAAAAAATGCAGCGATTTAGTTGGATGGTACTTTAGCGAATACAGCCAATCAGAGTCTAAGACAGAAAGTCTGTTATCAAAAAGTCATTATGTTTACAATCTGTCTGTCGACATTTTTGATTGGTTGTATTTACAAACATACAATCAAATCGTTGCATTCCATGACCAATTTGGTGATGTCATGCCAGTTATGAATGAAATGAGACTAGTTCGTTTCTAAAAACAGCATGCCCTCTTTCAACCGAGTAAGTTTTACCTTGGTTATAATAGTTTGTATCCAGGACACTCTGTTGTCAGTCTGTCAATACAGTAGATGTACTTCTTTTTCTCATAATTTTCATTATTTTCTACAGTTTTGTCTTCATTTTCAATTATTTATTGTTTTGGGTCTACATCATGTGGAAAATATATATACCGATACTAGAAAAGATGTAGGATTAAGAATGAAGGCGTACTTAGATGTCGGATGTCACTGTATATTTGAATTCTAGAAATTGTAATACCTATCTTTTGATTGAAGTTAAGACTCTACTGACATCAGAGCCAAGGTAAAGCAATCAAAAATTGGGCCTGTTTTAAATCTTTAACATGACCAATCCACTTCATTTTTGGTTGTTTTAAGTAGTAATGAACAGAATATAAGTCATGTTAATATCATGCTATTACTTCTAACACGACCTTAAAATTCAATATACTGCTTGTATTTGTTTTGCATTAACCAGAATGTACACTGATATCTTGGTTGGACAGTAACAGTGTCTATATTTTCCACTTCCTGTTTACTCTTTTGTTGTCGGAGAATATAGCAAAGAAAGCATGGGCACATGAAGTATACGCTCATAGCTCTTGAAAATAAACAAAATCGTGTCACTTGGGATTTTCTTTATCTCCAGCAACAGGAGAGTAAACTTTATTACAACGTTCCTGTGGTCAAACTTGCTGTGTTTTATTATTATTTTTTTTATTTAATTTAGTTCAGTATTATGATGGCTGCTTTGCTAATGAATTACCTGATTAGCTTTCGAAGGTTAGACTTGCCTGCATGATTGTGTTCAGTGGCACGCAAGCAAAATATAACCTACACTTTAAGGTATTGCCAATTGAAAATGAATCATATTGCGTTTAATGCACAAGTAGAATTTTTATGTATAACAATTTTTTTTTTGTCATATTCAGAAACTTCTTTCTAGTGAAGTGATGATATATCTCCAGCTTCATATTAATGTAAATTTAGTATGGAAAGTTTTATCTTATCTCTTGATCAGAGGCTTTCTCATCATACTGTCAACGCAGTCTTCACTTTGGCAGCCAGCTTTGGAAATAGAGATTAACTTTCTAATATGAAAAAATTGTCTTGTTATAAATAAAAGACAGACTTGTATTTTGTTTCTCAAAAATACCAACTCAGTAATTAATGTTATGACTTTCGGTAGAAGATTAGTAAATAATATTGTTTGCTAAACATTTTATATTTATAAAGGTTCTAGTACAATCAACTAATTCCTAAAAATGTGACAGATATAGAGTCCTTATTTTGTGACGAGGACGTACACGAAGAAGTACCAAGAAAATGTTTATGTCATTTTTAATTTTCAGTATGAGTATTGTACATTTACCAAAATAATTGTGATTTTTTTTTATTAAGAAATATTTTCCATCCTGGGTCAACACATGCAGCTCTCGTAAAAAATAAATTCATACGAGAAACCGTTTTAAAACTGTGTGTGTTGACATCCATGTGGAAGAAAAATAATTGTTATCTTTCAAATGGAATGAAGTTTAAAATCATCCTAAATAATTTTCGCACTTTTCAATCACACCAATAAAATCTCAGCATTTGAAATTTTTCGCAAGTTTTCTTCTTACTTGGGATTATTTGTGCACAAATTCTTAATTTATGTTTCAAATTATAAAACAAGCAATATAATAAAATAAAAGGCTTGTTTTTTTCAACTTTAAGCATGTTATTTTACCAAATTTACAACAGAATCTCCAAAAAAAACGTGCAAAGAACAGAAAATATTTCACCCAAATATGAAAAAAAGAATTCATTTGAAATAGGATTATTAGAAACATTAAAATAAACCTAAATACATTCTGTTGTAAACTTGTTGAATTAGTTTCTATGACAACTAGTCTTTAATGTTGCTATGACAATCTGTGGTTAAAATATGATTGATGAACTCTATGTACTTTACAAGGTAGTGAGAATTCCTATAACATTGGAAACGAGCTCCACAGTTTTATTATAGTGAAGCTCAATGCACCTTTATTTGACAATTAAACAACCAGTTTGATCATAACCAATTTAAGCTTGCTTTAAATTTCTAGGTATAGTGAAACCAGGGATATTTTTGGCCATATTTGTACAATTAAAAGAAATACATATGTAACATATTTTTGGGTTGGTCAAGTAGTAGAGAAAATGTAACTTATAAGTTTAAATGAATGAAATACTATTTCACCTCAAATTAAATGGAATGCTCATATTAATGTTTCAAATTGTCCGTGGATGTTAAGAAATATCTATGCCTGACAATATAAGCATAAAACATCTAAAAATAGGCATATATAAAGAATCACAGAAGATATAGATACGCTATTTCTAACAATTACAGTTGAAACATTGTGTAACGTTAACTTTATACATATTATAGAAATGTTATACGTATATCCATATATCTCATGTTTAACAATAGAGCATAGATGGAAGCCAAGTTAAGTCTGGATATTGAAGACTAGTTGTCATTATTATTATTATTATTAATTTATTACTATGGTTGTTACGATACACCTCTCACATTAATTATTTTATCTTGTTGGACTTGTAAATAAAATTTTTATCTCCTAATGTCTTCTTTATTATTTCCTTGATAGATTGACTGGAAATTTACAGCATATCAATTAATATATGTTAATCAATTAAAACTTAAGGGGTTGTATGAACAATGTAAAATCCATTGCGTCGAAACCACACCCCTATTCGTTATACTTCCTCGGGGCCGTGGTAATACAAGTGAGGAAAACTATGTATTCATAGCTCAATATTGTCCTGTCAAAATTGGCCGTACTGTATTCGAAGCAAATTTCAGCCAATGAAACCAAATCACTCGTTATGACGCTTTGTTTGCGAACGTAAACAAAACAAAAAAGGCGTGCCATTACATATTTTGATGAATATGTACGACACAGAATAGAAGCCGAGAGAAAATCAAACCTTACTTTGGAATATGTACTTGGAAAGAATGTGTTCTTATCTCTTCAAACGGGCGGTGTTGTGTTTTGTTTACAAGACCTCATTTCCGTCCTACCGATCTGATTGGTCAGATTAAAATGCCACCATTCACATTTCCTTGCCCCCAAAACCCATAATCGTCTTACGATGGGTAAATTCCTACCTCTCAAACAATTTGTGATACCATGTGGGTCACAGAGAAAGTGTAGAATATCTGGCAATGTATTGATGGACTCGTTAATAGTTACATTTTGTAAAGATACCAAAATCATTGCGAAATTTGACTTTAGTCATGGTGAAAATTCTTAGAAAGTGGCAACCCAAACTTGTGTAGGAGCAACTCCCAAAAAAAGTGAATTTTATTTCTGAACATGCCGATATCCCATCTGTATTTCAATGGGTCAGATTAGATTTGTCAGGCTGGTGGCAAAGTTGACATTGTTCTGACCCCCCCCTTAGCAAATTTTAACCTGCTTGTAAAAATGACAAGTTTTTAAATAATGTAAGTATTTATTATCTATCAGGGGAGTGAACTGAAAATACACGAGCTGTCTGATCTTCTGCTACTGATACTATTGTACTACCATCTCTATAAAATACATGATTAGAATTAGTTAAACTATGATACAACAAGCTCATATATTATATAATATACACCAAGTATTGTCAGTTATATGTGGGCAGAGTGAGCAAGATGCTTGATTGGTCCATTCTGCACGTTTAGGACACATGGAATCAACCGGATGTTCAATAAAACAAGTTGGAATCGAATTTAGAAGCCATTCCACGTATGGAATTTAAAATTTTGGAGAAGGTATTAGATAGGAAATTTGGAATTTTACATAATCCGCTTCAATTGAGGACAGAATTGGAATGGAGGGGACCTGTTTAAATCTCTCCAATTGAGCACTTCCCAGTAGATCCAGAGTTCAATCTCCAGCTAGTTCGAGATGCCACCTGTCATTGATGCAGGGATGAAAAGGAAAGTCAGATTAAACTTTTTTTTCAAATCTTGTTAGCTATGCAGACTTTCTCCATGGGATGTCCAGTTGACAGACTCAAACCACTTAAAACAAGCAATAACTAGCTATTCGTGAGCATCTCATTGCAGATCAAAAACACTGTGACATAACTTGAGTTCAACCAGATAAGGATAAGATAGTACTTACTTTGAAATATCAAAATCTAGAATTTCAGCTGTATGACCCTCCCATGTTGAAACTGTAGAGCTAGTTCTAGCATCCCATAGTCTTATCACTCCATCTAAACATGCTGTATAAATCATAGGTGATACATTATCCCATTTTAACTTCACCACACCAGCCTAGAAAATATAGACAAAAAATTAACAGTTTCCTTCTTGCCCCCAAAAGCCATGCAGTGTACAATGAGATAAATGTTTCAGAACAAGAACCCCAGCCTACACTTTTGCTCCTAACAAGGCTGACTAAGGCCATGCAGTTTACAATGAAGTATATATTTCAGTAAACTTGGCTCTAACTCTTTTTATTATCCCTATTGATAAAGGGACCTTCCACATGCACAGAATGTAGCTAGTATTGTTGACAAAGGCTTGTCACCATCACATCTAGCTATTTATTCATTCTTACAAGTACAATAACTTGATGACAGATTCTCTAGCAATTATCACACACTAGATGTCATTAACTTTATATAATACTCTTTTCTTAAAAGATTTTTAAAATACTTGACAATAACTTCAGTGGAGGAGCCAGGTTTACATCAGAGGAGGGGCGAAATACCTGTGGTTTCCCAAATTTCTGCAAGGGCTGGTAATAGAGTTAAGAACTTGCCAAGACAGCGAATGACAGAGAGATATCACATGTAAAGATAGGATATAATAAACCTTGTTAGAAACATACTTCATGTTTACATTGATGACGTAAAGTTTGACTAGGGATATCCCAGACACCTACTATACCATTCATACAACCAGTAGCAGCATACGGAAACCTGAATTAAACAATCCTTTCCTTCTTTATTCATAATACATGATAATTTTCAAACACTTGCCCTGCCAGTTCTTTCCAGAACCAAATCAACAGCCATGATGCACAAGTGAGCCAAGCTTCACAATAACGTCTTTTATTGTTATCTCATCAAATATATAGTGCTAGTGTTAGATGAGCTGGTATCAATACGTAAGAGATTAGCCTCCATGACCAAAATAACGTATCTGTCAGAAAGTAATCCAAACATTTTAAATTTTGAACTAAAAAATTCCTGATTATCAGTTATCAACTATGAAATTCGTTGCAAACTTACATATTTGACAATCCAACAGTTTCCACTGAATTTTCATCCTCACTATTATCACCTTCAGTTGGACTGGAACAATCAAACGTTGTTATCACCTAGAATGTTACATTAACATCTAGCATTACTCAAAATATCATTATTAGGCTGAGCTCGCTGTACAGTATTCGCTGTACGGTATTTGATCACAGAGAGTCACATAGGGTCCTTTGGCACGAATCAATTGGTTACTTTGGATGAAGAAGAAATCACACAGCCGGGGCAGCTTTTTCAATGACTGTGTAATCATCCATCGTTAGCTACATGTACCTATGAAGGCATGTGCTTTGAAATTGCAATAAAATGGGTTTTCCACTATACCATACTATACGCAAGTATACAGCGTTTTCGAATAGTGCCCTCTTATATGGCCCGCGATTATGAAATATCCTTGTTCGGTTTGTGATATTTGTTGCCATTCAAATGTGAACTCAGTCTTATGGTATGTTTTTATTGAACAGACATTAAACTGTAAACATGTCCCAAATACAATCAATTATCATGGCAAGACTAGAAGGGACTTTGAAGTGCTTGTATCATTTTGTTGATGGAAGTCAAATATACTTTCCATCATCAACTGAGTCATGTTACTGTTGTAGGAATATATCATTAGCATTCTACTTCTCTTTGATGAAGCTAGTTTTCAATTTGATGGCTTATGGCTCAAGGTGCGTCTTACCTTGCCTGTTTGTGTGTTGATTAATTTTGCCGTCTGTTCTGTTGAACCAGTTAAAACCAGTTTACCGTCTGAATGAGAGTCGATAGAAAGCACTGAAGATTTGTGTGAATCGTGACCAGATAAACTATATATACTTTCTCCTGATTTCAAATCCCAGAATTTCAGACTTCCATCTTCACAGCCTGTACATAATCTCTTACCTTAAAAATAAAAAAATATCAGCATATACTCATCAAGCTACAGCCTATTTAAAAAAAAGAGAATAAAAAGGTATGAATAAGTATCATAGCTTAGCTTCAGTAACCAAATGTCACAAGTAAAATTGATAAACCTTCCAGGTAAAACAGCTTCAGAAAAATATTATATCAGAAATCATAAATGTAAACATCTAATTAGAGCTAATTAGACCCATTTTCACCTATCTTCAGTTTTCAGAGCTGACTTCTAACATCTGGTTACCCACTTCAACAAAACATAAAACCTTAGACTTTTGTACCTGTCAAGGTCTCCTAAAACTTTTTCAGAGGAATTCCCGACTGAGGACATTATAATATCAGTAATATTTGTAATATCATTAGTGAATGTCAATAACAGCCTGGAAGTGATATAATTTTAATATCATCTGCATTCGACAATGTCTATCAGACTACAGTGTATCAAGAGCAGACAACTCATAGAACAGGATTGACAAATCGAGGTCTGACCTACCATCAGATAATATATTAGAAGAAGTAACAGAAGAATTATGATGAAATGTTTTACAGTCACCATCTGGTATTTTCCACATCCATACATCTCCATCATTAGTTCCTACTAACAGTACATTAGCTAATGGATGCCATCTTAACCACTGAAATAGAGCAACATGGTAAGATTCATACACAGATAAAGATAGAAAGACCAGTTCGAGATCACTGTTTAATAGGAATATGATATACACAATACATATTCCTACATTTCTAAAACCAAACTTTATCAATATAACATAGTCTTCTTATTTATCAGCTACCTTAATCACTTTTCAAAACAAAAATTTTGCATCTGGTATGTCTGTGATCAAATATCCGGTTCACTGTCATCTACAAAAGCAACTTTCCAGATTCTGAAATGGAGGTATATCTAAAAGGATGTAGAGTTGACAAGCATGCATCTGTACTATAGCAGAAGAACTAATCAATTTTTTGAATGAAAATAAGTTTTTAGATTCTTACTTCAGTTTCACCTCCTTCAAAAGACCAAATTTCTTCTTTAGTTTCTGTTTTCCAGACCTTTATTAACCCAGACATATCTGCAGTAGCCACGTACGATGAGTCATAGCTAAAACCAACACTGGTAACTGAATCTGTGTGTCCTTAAATCAACAAAGTAAAAAATCCCCATTGAACAACATTGACCTCCCAGTGTCTCTGGATATATAAGACAGAATATAAGCTTATTTTTTTAGCAATTAACATATCCATATTTTAGTAATAAATTAGAGTTTTGGGCAATTCTATACTTTTAAAAGTGACTAACATGACTAACACTGTGCTGTTTTTGTCACTCATGTCAGGTTGAAGCTGAAAAGTACCCTCTGTAAAATCCACTTTCAATATACAATGTTTTTGAAGGTTAATAATTGAATTTTTATTAAAATAATTTTTATCCATCTAACACATCACAAAACCTGTACACAAAGTGGAGTTGGTATTTCATTTCATAAGAAAAATGTCATTGAATAAATCTGATTCAAATCTAAATCTGATAGTGGTAAAATAATAGATAATCTGACAGTATAGTCAGAGAGAGTTATTATAATATGCAATTAGTGTAAGGGCTATTTGATATATTAATAGTATGTAAAGTGTAATATAAACCTACCTGTACAAGTGAATAGTGTATCACCAGTAGAAATATTCCACACTATAGCTGTATCATCTTGACTTCCTGTTACAGCTAGACTTGATGACTTGGGATCAATCTTCACAGTAAATACACTATCTGTTCAAATTGAAGAAATAAATCGAAATAGAATCATAAATCAGATATAATAAACTGAACACCACATTCAGGTCAGTTGCTTTAAAAACAGAAACCTACCAGTAAATAATGTATTCAAAATAATTGGAATGGTAGGATGTAAAACTCCATCCCATTATATTTCTACTTCAAAAACCTGTTTATTATTAAATTTGTAAGAAATTCTGAACTAAGGAATATTTAGATGTAAAGCTGCATTCTATTTGATATCATCCGAATGGATATCAATCAAGTACGGTACCTTTATGTCCCCTAAAAACCAATGCTGAATCTTCTTTTATGGCATCTCCTTCTGCCCCGACTTCCATTTCATTTTCATCATCACCTCCATCATAATCATCTACAATAAATATGTGTAGGCCTATTAGAGAGCAGATAAAATAAGCTGTCACGGGTTAGCCCTGAGGATTAGCTACAGGCCTGGTTATCTAATATGATGCAAAAAAATTGTTGTGGCTAGAAGTCTGTCAGTAAGTAAATATGGGAAGGTGACAAAAAAACCCAGAAATTTTGTCTAGTCATAGCTATTCTGCCTAAAACAGAAGCCCACAGGTGTGTGAACTATGATGACATTTAGCATCAAAAGCCATGATCTAATAAATAGGCTTTTACACTCCGAACATAAATTTGTTCAGTAACTCACTGAGTTTCTGATTTCAATTCTTTGAAAATAATTGATATGTCATTTTAATTTCGTTTGTGAATGGTGTGGTAACTGCCAAGTCACTGCATTTGCCAATAGAAAATAACCGTTAAGTACAAGAAATAAAAAGAATGAGAAAATCACCGTCACTATCACTGGCCACACCGTCATTCTCGCCCAAGTCTATCACCTGTACAATGTCTTCTGCATTCAAAACAACGTCTTCATCAACTTCATCCACATTTTCTTGACTCATTTTATACTTTATCTTAGTTTTACGAAAATTCTGCGATGTCAATTTGTAAACAACACCACGTGGTTTTACTAACTTCCGGTATCTATTTCTACCTTCTTTCTAGAGAGTTGCATACTTTCTGACCTTCGGCTTGTTACCTTAGAGAGTTCCAAAACATGATTCTTGAAGAAAAAGTCAAATTTTAGAAATTCGGAAGGAGCCTTGGGATAGAAATTTTGGTTTTCATTTTTCAATATGAATCCCCAAAATTTACCTATGTTGGCGTGGTAAGGCAACGACTATTTAAAGTGTTTTGATTACATGAATGTCATAGAGGTAGTCTAATAATATTATCAACTCTATGCATGAATGTTTGAACGGGACACAACTCAAGAAGCTTCAGACAACATTAATTTTCACTATAAAATTGTATGTAATCCAGTGGGAAGCGAATGTTAACTTGTCATCTACCAACCAACTGGTGTGCGATTCATTTTGTCTTAAATAACACTTGCAGCAAATGTGAACTGTTACAATGATAACCTTTATATTGGCATACTTAATGCACCAATATAGGGCTTACCTTTTAAGAACAATAATAAGCTATTATTAAGACTGAGATTATTTCAGTTGAATTCAAATTATAATTATTTGCTTCAGATCAAAGTTCGTAAGATGTTTGAATTCAAAATGGAGGAGGTCCTTGTAAAGTGGAAAATGCTGTTTAATTCACTAGTCTCAGAAAATGTATTTGTAATTTCAGGGCCCTAGCTTTACCACTAGCAGTAGGAGGATTTTATTTGACAAGAAAGTCAGTTATTAAACAGAGAGTAGAGAGGATGAGAGAACGCAGGAGGCAAGAAAGGGAAAAACAAAAATTATCTTAACGATACTATTGATTATGGTGGCGTTTAGATCAGCAATTGTGGCTCTAATACCTGACTAAACTGTTGTGAAACATTCAAGATGATGTTTGCCATTGATAGACAATAGACACTGAACCTGTAAGAATGAAACGAATGGTATTTTTATATGTATATTATTTGCGTGACTTTTTTTTTTACATGATATAACGGACATCTTTTAATCTAAGTATTCTTTCACTTTATGGTGGATGAGGGGTTCCCTAGTTGTAGAAATGTAAAAAGAGTCCAGAAGGTTGAAAACCAGGAATAGAAATAAGTGATAAAATGATTAGGCTAATGACAAGGTGCAACTCTAAGCAGTGTGCTAGGAGGGAAATTTTTCCAGGACAAAGGCATCAGTCTACTATTTGTTAATTATCTTTGTCTTTGTCTTATTAACCTGTATTAAACTTAGCCCACTATATTTTGGTTATTGTGATTTGTTTTGATTTTACTAACAAGACAGCAGGACCAATTCTGATTGGACAATATTTATCTAAGAATACATAATTTCTCATGCTTGAATTACCAGGTCTCAAGGAAGTATGACGAATGGTGGTGTGGTTTAGACACAAAGCCGTCGAGCGATCTTTTATGAGTATAGCATGTAGCACACAGGGTCTTAATTTTAACTAGAATAACTAGACCTATTCACGGTCACAGACACTGCGTGTTCTGATATTTTGCTTGTTGTCTGGTTTTACCAGTTATGTCCCTTTATTTGTTAAATTGATTTATCAAACGGTTCAATGTGGCGATTGTGTTGGTGTACTGGATCTTTCCGAAATCAATGTAGCGTTTATATAGTGAGGGCCATTGAGTCGTGGTCTCCACTGGAACCTGTGATAGGTCTTAAATTACCCCCCCTAAATTCTCATCAGAAATCTTCTAAGGGACTCTGGCCTCAAGGACCTCGACTCAGAAACAGATTTAATGAATATATAGGGAAAAAGAGATTTAATCGTCTAAAATATGCCTGTATGATTTACCTTATTGTAGCCAAATTACACGTTTTTTTTTTCATTCTGAAGACTGACGAGGGGTGCGGATGTGTTGAAATAAGTCCTTCAGTTCTGTTACATTGAATCGCATGCTTTAAAAAACATACCACCATTTTGAGTAAAATTATACAAAAATGTTTTGAAACAACTTCATAAACTTTTCATAAATCGATGTATGGGCCTGCCTTCTTCAATATGATATCATAGTCTACTAGTATAAGATAAGATGACGAGATTAGATTCAAATCAGCTATATTCCATACATGATCTTATATTTATAAATTCTTTCATCTTCCCACCTTGTCATTTAAACATTCTTGGTATTATACACTGGGCTTAATATAGCATTCTGATAATTCATTTTGTATGATAGGCTGGCTTGACTATTCTCTTAAAACACCCTTTCAAATATCAACTATATCAATTAATACTTTTTGTTTTTTGTAAGTGCGTGCTCTGATCGCCTAGATGGAACATGCCCTTTATATAAAGTTCATGTATTTGTTTAATGAGTTTCTATGACAACGTAAATTTTGGATGCTATCTATGGAAGTTAATGGAAAAGAGTGATCATATTAAGAAATGTCAATATTGTTAAAATAATTAGAAAATAGAGGGGAAAATCGATAGAATCTATTAAAATGTCTTTCTCACATCAATGGTTCTGTGTATAATATTCAGTCGGCAATCAGCGAGTTTATATAATGCACACTTTGTTGGGATTATCAGGTATCTATCAGAGCTTAACGGTAAACATCAGAATCGGAAATTTCTACAGTAGTCGACTATATTATAGTAGATAATCGATACCAATTGATCACTAAATGACTCTACTATTATAAACCCATAAAAATCTCGACATAAAGTTGCAAATGTGGTTCGATTATACAGTACCAACCTTTCGAATATACTCAGTGTTAGGTTACGTCCTTGGTTTTATAGTTGATAATCGATGCAAATTGATCACCGGATAAACCGGACATGTAGTTTGATGTTACGTTTGTTTATTGTCGCATTATTTAAATGAAATACAGACCACAACCCCCTTTACATACACAAAGCTACAACTTGTAGTCAGATAGGCCTACAGGTAAACAGTAAAATATCTATAGTACACCCACTTCCCCCTTCTCCTGTAATATAACCCATAATTTGGACTACCCTCTAGAAAATATACGTACGTCGGTTTGCTTCCCTTGTGAATATAACTTAGTGGACTGTTATGAATAATGTATTATAGTTCATTGCTATCGTATGGTTTGGGGTTAGTTGGTGGTTGGTAGATGATGAGTGAACGTCCACTTCCAGTTAACTGATATCGCAGACTACGTTGTGGTTGGTAGATGACAAATTAACATCCGCTCCCAGCTAACTGATATCGCAGGATGGGTAGTTGTTGGTAGATGACAAATTAACGTCCGCTTCCAGCTAACTAATATCGAATACTTGATAGTTCTTGGTAGATGACAAGCTAACGTCCACTAACAGTAAATACTGATATTGCATATTACGTTGCGGTTGGTAGATGACAAATTAACGTCCACTTCCAGTTAATTGATATCGCAGACTAGGTTGTGGTTGGTAGATGACAAATTAACGTCCGCCTCGAGCTAACTGATATCGCAGACTAGGTTGTGGTTGGTATGACAACTTAACATCCGCTTCCAGCTAACTAATATCGCAGGTTGGGTAGTTGTTGGTTAATGACAAATTAACATCCGATTTCATCACATTCTTGGTAGTTGTTGGAAAATGATATAATATAAATATATTTATAAGTCAGCTTCCAGGTAGTTGTTGGTAGACGAAAAGTTAACATCCACTTCCAGTAGATGCTGATATCTCATACGATGTAGATTTTGGACGATTCTAGCGAAGAGACGCACCCATTTACTACTAGAAAATGATTGATTTGGTTTATATTGACAGAGTTTTATAGAAAATGCACCCATTAGTCGAGGATAATCTACATGTCATTTATGAATAGTGAAATACAAAGCTTCTTCATTAATCAATTTTTTAATATTTGAACATTACATTTGTATAATAAAACATTTATCTGGTGACTAATTACTAGTAATAATGGGTTACATCAACAAAATATGGATCTGATTAGGCTGATCAAGTTCCAATCTTCACAAAGTATTCGAATAAAAACGTCAAATGGAAGGAAACAAATCGATTGACACTAATAGAATAGATAGACAGATTAATGGATAGACAGATATATAGATAGATAGATGGTGGATAGATAGATAGATAGATAGATAGATAGATAGATAGATAGATAGTTAGTGGATAGATAGATAGATAGATAGACAGATAGATAGATAGATAGATAGATAGATAGATAGATAGATAGATAGATAGATAGATAGATAGATAGATAGATAGATAGATAGATAGATAGATAGATGGTGGATAGATAAGATAAGATAAGATAAGATAAGATAAGTAGAGTTGAGTAGAATTTCAATCAGTTTAACCTCTCCTCTCAACATGTCCTGAGAGCTCTTCATCTCGTACACAATGAAAGTCGAGTAAACTTATTCTCCATCAACGATCTAATGAAAAATCAATGCTATGAGTCTTTAAGAAGTTTTTTTTATATTGTCGTTATTATATCCATACAAAGAACATAATAGATCGTTTACAGCCTTCAGCTTCAATAATCGTCTTTTGATTGTTTCTTACAAAACTTTCTAAGTATGAAGGTTACATTTGCTCTAAGGGCTTAGTGCGGTGTACAGAAAATATAGAAATGAAATGAAATGAAATGAATAGAGATTTACGTCCTAATTTTTCTGCACCATGTGGGTTAATAAAGACGGGCAACGCCATGCAGGGTACAATGAGGGAAATTTTGCCAGGACAGGGGCATTAGCTTGCCCCTTTTTGATTTCCAACTGTCGAGAGATCTTTAACGTAGCACACGGAGCCTCGGTTTATTGTTCCATCCGAACGACTAGGAGGAGCAAATGCACTTGAGGACACGATGCGGACACGATTGGCTTTACTTGGATACTTCATACCTCATCTATTCCGGTTATCCGGGTCAATCAGACCAAGATGGATTTTCAGGTATCAATATGGCTTGTTTTTACAGCTTGACAAGTGTGACAAAAACTTAATTGCATTTCGTCATTGATTTTCGATTATCCAGAATTAA